TTAAATAAAACATATAAAGTATTTTTCCAGCTTCAATGCAGTTGCCTGTACAGTTAACAAACAATATAAAATAATCTTTACAAAGTCTTTGTATTGTCACTTGCATCATCTGCTCATAAGTAGAGTTGAGCAGAAACCTGGATGTTTGGGTTCGGCCGAACTTCGAAAAAAAAGTCCGGGTTCTGGATCGAACTTGACCCCAAACTTGACCCAGAACCCCATTGAAGTAAAAAATTGGGCACTTGGGCATTGGGCACAAAAATGGCTCTAAAAAAGTCCTGGAAAGGGCTAGAGGGCTGCAAAAGGAAGTAAAATGGGGGTAAGAGTAGGACAAGTGCCCTGCAAACAAATGTGGATAGGGAAATCACTTAAAATAACATAAAATAAGCAGCCACTTAGTAGATAACTCCCTAATTCCCACGGTATTAGGGAGCTATCTACCAAAAGGCTGAAAAACCTAAATTTAAGTAAAGATTACTTAGTATTAGTAAATTCAGCCCCTACTCGCTATACCGCGAGTAGGGGCGTGTCTAGTAAACAGTGAACAGCCAGTGGCTGCTCACTGTAAAAAAATAAAAAAATAAAAAAACTATTGCCCCCACCCCTGTGCGATGGGTGGGGGCCATAAATAAGAATATGGGGGAGACCTACTGTCCTCCCCCCGGCCCCCACCCCTGTGCGGTGGGTGGGGGTCCTAAATAACAATAAGGGGGGAATGTTGTTTTTTTTTTTTTTTAAACAGTGAGCAGCCATAGGCTGCCCCTACTCGCGGTATAGCGAGTAGGGGCATAATTTAATAACACTAAGTAACCAGCTTATATAGAGGCTGGGTCACATGCTGCACATTAGTAGGCATGGCTGTGATGGCTTCTAAGGGCACACGAGTCAAACACTTGTTGATTGGCTGCCCTGCAGCCGTTCAAAACGCGTCATTAAATCGCCGAACACCGAACTCCAACCCGAACAAACAGTGATATATCCGTGTTCGGGTCCTGGGTCCAAAAAAAACTTAATGTTCGGTACGAACCTGAACTTTGCGGTTCGGGTTCGCTCAACTCTACTCAAGTATTTGCACACGTGTATTCCCAACGTAAACCTACTGCACATTTAGGGGGTGTTTAACCGATTTGTCAGTCTGGAAGCTGGAAAGCAATGTAAGTCTCATTGTTTGCTTTGCTCCTCTGGTTTGGTTACATTCAAGATATATCCAGTATTTCACAGACAATAAGTGTGAACTAATTCATGTGGGTGAAGTTTGGCTTTGTACACTTATCCAGTTAGGAACAGGCTGGAATCTCCACATGATGAAAATGATGCCCTGATTCCTGCCCGATAAACTGTACAATGACACATAAGGTATCTCCACTTCCGCAGCTTCTTTGGTGTGTATTGCCTTTCAATGGGAGTCTATCAGCAGTCACAGAGAGTTGGAAGCACGGTGCACCATCACATGACTGGAGGATCAGAGGATCAGAACCAGCAATCATACGTTTTTTTTTTCCCTCATACTGCTTAAGTGGCACCACCGCAATCCACTGATATTGATTCCAACATTTTACTCCATTGTGAAAAGATGATAATCATTGCCTCTGAAGGTAGAATGTTTATCTGTGTGTATCAGAATCTGTTAATGTAAGCTAATTGGTGTATTATCTGGGTGTACATTGTAGCTAGAACAGGGTGCCTAGCCTAAAGCTTGGGATCCAGATTGGAATATGTCAAAATGGATGTTTCTTCACAATGTTGATCACTGTTGAACTGTTAAAATGAATAAACAAATAAATAAATTAATTAACCCTTTCAGTGCTGATCACAGTATTGACCATGTGATCTGTATGATTAGGGTAATTAGTACATAGAAAAGAGATTTAGCATAGACAAATTGTTTTACGGTAGTGTGGAACATCTTTTAATACATACCCTGGTTTAAATTATATAAACATAAGAGGAAAGATACTAGCCAATACAAAACATATATAGTATAGTATTGCAGGGTAAAAATACTGAGTAAATGGTGAGATAAGAAATTCACTCACAAACATAGAGCAGATGAGTCTTAGATCATCTTGATTCTGTTTTAAAGCATCTTCATATGCCTCCTCTTTAAGTTGAATAGGATATTCCACCTCCCAGAATTGTCCTGAGGACATTACCTTATCCTGAGCGTGTACGAATATCTTTCAACAACCGGCGACTACACGGACTCAGGGCAGGACTGTCACAACTTAAGATCCGGTGAATTTTGCTATTCGGCTGTTTTATTTGTGTATGTGGAAATAAAGCCGTTTTTATCCTTACTGGCTACAGCGGAAGTCTCTCTATATATTTGGACTATTCAAGGTAGAGCAGACTCATCTGCTCTATGTTTGTGAGTGAACTTCTCATATCACCATTTACTCACTATTTTTACCCTGCAATACTCTACTATATTCCCTCACTCTAGTGACAGAGTGAGGGAGGGTGTGACTAGTGACAGAGTGAGGGAGAGGTGACTAGTGACAGAGTGAGGGAGGGAATGGGTGACTAGTGACAGAGTGAGGGAGGGGTGACTAGTGACGGGGGTGACTAGTGAGGGAGGGTGTGACTAGTGACAGAATGAGGGAGAGGGTGACTAGTGACAGAATGAGGGAGAGGGTGACTAGTGACAGCAGGAGGGAGATGGTGACTAGTGACAGAGTGAGGGAGGTGGTGACTGTCACATCACCCCATCCCTCCCTCTGTCACTAGTCACTCCCTCCCTAACTCTGTCACTAGTCATCCCTTCACTCTGTCACTAGTCACCTCCTCCCTCTGTCACTGTGTCACCCCATTCCTCCCTCTGTCACTAGTCATCCCCTCCCTTACTCTGTTACTAGTCACCCCGTCCCTCACTCTGTCACTAGTCACCCCCTCCCTCACTCTGTCACTGGTCATCCCCTCCCTCACTCTAGCAACAGAGTGAGGAGGGGTGACTAGTGACACGGGGGGGTGACTAGTGACAGTGGGGGGGTGACTAGTGACAGTGGGGGGAGGTGACTAGTGACAGTGGGGGGGGGTGACTAGTGACAGTGGGGGGTGACTAGTGACAGTGGGGGGTGGGATAGTGACAGGGGTGACTTAGTGGACAGGAGGGAGGTGGATTTAGTGACAGTGGGAGGGGGTGGGATGAGGACAGTGGGGGTGATAGGGGACAGTGGGGGGTGACAGTGACAGTGGGGGTGATGGTGACAGTGGGGGGTGATTAGTGACAGTGGGGGGGTGATTAGTGACAGTGGGGGGGTGACCAGGGGCGGACTGACCACTCGGGCATATCGGTCACGGACCGAGGGCCCGAGACAGTCAGGGGCCCGGCCGCACAGCCATGCTCCAGCTGGAGAGATCAGATCAGAGATCTCTCCAGCTGGAACGAAAAAATAAATAAAACTATTTAAATGATAGGTTGTGGGGCCCCTGATGCAGCACGGGGCCCCACAACCTACCGCTCTCTAAATTCACCCCCCCCCTTCCCATGAGACCTGGCAGCTTCACCTCCTCTCCCTCTCTGCCAGGTCTCCTGCTTCCAGTCCCGCGGTGCTCGTGTGATGGGAGAGGCGGGACAGGAAGTGACCTCACTTCCTGTTTACTCCTCTCACACACAGAGCCCAGTGAGGGGAAGGAGCAGCAGCCGGGGAGACCACAAGGAGCAGAGAGACAGGTAGGCACTAGGTACCCCTCTCCCCCCCCCACTGTCACTAATTACCCCCCCACTGTCACTAATCACCTCCCCTCACTGTCACTAATTACCCCCCCACTGTCACTAATCACCTCCCCTCACTGTCACTAGTCACCCCCCCACTGTCACTAATCACCTCCCCTCACTGTCACTAATTACCCCCCCACTGTCACTAATCACCCCCCACTGTCACCAATCACCCCCACTGCCACCAGTCACCCCCACTGTCACCATAATCACCCCCCACTGTCACTCAATCACCCCCACTGTCACCAATCACCCCCACTGTCACTAGTCACCCCCCCACTGTCACTAATCACCCCCCACTGTCACTAATCACCCTCCCACTGTCACTAGTCACCTCCCCTCACTGTCACTAGTCACCCCCACTGTCACTAATCACCCCCCACTGTCACTAGTCACCCCCCCACTGTCACTAATCACCCCCCACTGTCACTAGTCACCCCCCCCACTGTCACTAGTCACCTCCCCCCACTGTCACTAGTCACCCCCCCACTGTCACTAGTCACCCCCCCGTGTCACTAGTCACCCCTCCTCACTCTGTTGCTAGAGTGAGGGAGGGGGTGACTAGTGACAGAGTGAGGGACGGGGTGACTAGTTACAGAGTAAGGGAGGGGATGACTAGTGACAGAGGGAGGAATGGGGTGACAGTGACAGAGGGAGGAGGTGACTAGTGACAGAGGGAGGAGGTGACTAGTGACAGAGTGAAGGGATGACTAGTGACAGAGTTAGGGAGGGAGTGACTAGTGACAGAGGGAGGGATGGGGTGATGTGACAGTCACCACCTCCCTCACTCTGTCACTAGTCACCATCTCCCTCCTGCTGTCACTAGTCACCCTCTCCCTCATTCTGTCACTAGTCACCCTCTCCCTCATTCTGTCACTAGTCACACCCTCCCTCACTAGTCACCCCCGTCACTAGTCACCCCTCCCTCACTCTGTCACTAGTCACCTCTCCCTCACTCTGTCACTAGTCACACCCTCCCTCACTCTGTCACTAGAGTGAGGGAATGACTAGTGACAGAGTGAGGGAAGGGGTGACTAGTGGCAGAGTGAGGGAAGGAAGGGATGACTGGTGACAGAGTGAGCGGATGACTGGTGACATAGTGAGTTAGGGGGTGACTAGTGACAGAGTAAGGGACGGAGGGGGTGACTAGTGACAGAAAGAGGGAGGGACTAGTGACAGAGTGAGGGAGGTGGTGACTAGTGACAGAGTGAGGGAGGTGGAGACTAGTGACAGTCACCACCTCCCTCACTCTGTCACTAGTCACCCCTTCCTTTCCTCACTCTGCCACTAGTCACCCCTTCCCTCACTCTGTCACTAGTCACCCCCTCACTCTAGTGACAGAGTGAGGGAGGGGGTGACTAGTGACAGAGTGAAAAAGGGGGTGACTAGTGACAGAGGGAGGGGTGACTAGGGACAGAGTGAGGGAGGTGGTGACTAGTGACAGTCACCACCTCCCTCTCTGTCACCAGTCATCCCCTCACTCTGTCACTAGTCACCCCTTCCTTCCCTCACTCTGCCACTAGTTACCCCTTCCCTCACTCTGTCACCGCCTCACTCTGTCACTAGTCACCCCCTCACTCTGTCACTAGTCACCCCCTCACTCTAGTGACAGAGTGAGGGAGGGTGTGACTAGTGACAGAGAGAGGGAGGGGGTGACTAGTGACAGAGTGAGGGAGGGAAGGGGTGACTAGTGACAGAGTGAGGGAGGTGGTGATTAGTGACAGAGGGAGGGATGCGGTGACTAGTGACAGTCACCACCTCCTTCACTCTGTCACTGTCACCCCCTCCCTCACTCTTTCACTGTGTCACCCCCTTCCTCACTCTGTCACTAGTCACCCTTCCTTCCCTCACTCTGTCACTAGTCACCCCCTCACTCTAGTGACAGAGTGAGGGAGGGTGTGACTAGTGACAGAGGGAGGAGTGACTAGGGACAAAGTGAGGGAGGTGGTGACTAGTGACAGTCACCACCTCCCTCACTCTGTCACCAGTCATCCCCTCACTCTGCCACTAGTCACCCCTTCCCTCCCTCTGTCACCTGTCACCCCCTCACTCTAGTGAAAGAGTGAGGGACGGTGTGACTAGTGACAGAGAAAGAGGGGGGGGTGACTAGTGACAGAGGGAGGGATGAGGTGACTAGTGACAGTCACCACCTCCTTCACTCTGTCACTAGTCACCCCCTCCCTCACTCTGCCATTGTGTCACCCCCTTCCTCACTCTGTCACTAGTCACCCACTCTCTCCCTCACTCTGTCACTAGTCACCCCCTCTCTCACTCTGTCACTAGTCATCCTCTTCCTTACTGTCACTAGTCCCACCCTCCCTCACTGTGTCACTGTGTCACCCCTTTCCTCACTCTGTCACTAGTCACCCCTTCCCTCACTCTGTCACCTGTTACCCCCTCACTCTGTCACTAGTCACCCCCTCACTCTAGTGACAGAGTGAGGGAGGGTGTGACGAGTGACTAGGGACAAAGTGAGGGAGGTGGTGACTAGTGACAGTCACCACCTCCCCCACACTCTGCCACTAGTCACCACCTCCCTCACTCTGTCACCAGTCATCCCCTCACTCTGCCACTAGTCACCCCTTCCCTCACTCTGTCACCTGTCACCCCCTCACTCTAGTGACAGAGTGAGGGACGGTGTGACTAGTGACAGTCACCACCTCCTTTACTCTGTCACTAGTCACCCCCTCCCTCACTCTGTCATTGTGTCACCCCTTCCTCACTCTGTCACTAGTCACCCACTCCCTCACTCACTCTGTCACTAGTCACTCCCTCCCTCTGTCACTAGTCATTCCCTCCCTCTGTCACTAGTCATTCCCTCCCTCTGTCACTAGTCATTCCCTCCCTCTGTCACCAGTCACCTCTTCCCTCCCTCACTTTGCCACTAGTCATCTCTTCCCTCCCTCCCCCACTCTGCCACTAGTCACCCATTCCCTAACTCTGTCACTAGTCACCCCCTCTCCCTCCCTCTGTCAGTAGTCTCCCACTCTGTCACCAGTCACCCCCACTCACTGTGTCTCCCCCTCACTCTGCCACCACTCAACCCCTCCTTCCCTCACTCTGCCACCAGGTACCCCCTCACTCTGCCACCTGTCACAACCTCCCACACTCTTCCACCTGTCACCTTCTCCCTCATACACTCTGTCACCTGTCACATATGCATTCACACAGACACTATATACAAAAAGCACATGTAGTCATCCAGACATGCACAAGTGCATTCACACAGACTCAAATACAAACATGCATTGATACACAGGTCTTCACAATATACACATCCAAAGGAATGCCGTATTATGAGTTATATTTAACATTTATTTAATGCACGTATATTTGGCCTTCAAAGGGCCTGGGATCTAATTTTGCCCGGGGGCCCCAAAGGCTCTCAGTCCGCCCCTGGCAATAGATATATTACAATACAAAATAAATGTAAAATGTAATATCGAAATAGTTGAGCTACAAAACTTCTTTAAGTCAGCTATGCTTTTACTTCAGCTACCCTAGCCAAGAATTTAAAATTTACTTTGAAGTCACATTAAATTCTCACTTTAGTAAGTAAACCTGTCTGTTTCTCTTGAGTACACTGCTGGAATCACAATCCAAAATCACTGACTATAGTTCTGAAGACGCAGAGTCACGGAATGTAACTGATGCTCCTTCATATCGCTTTAGGCAAAGTGTTTGAAAAATTCCCCGTCTTCCTTTTTTTTAAACTTTAATATACTACACTTCATACTTTCTCTTGTTAGAATAGTTAGAAAGCCTGTTTTCATACAAACAATGTTACAGATGACCTAGTTCATGCTGACACTGTTGCACATAGAAGGCTTATCAATAAACTGCAACCTTTAAGTTTGGATTCCAATATTGTTGAATTGGTAAGGCAGTGGCTGAGTGACAGGCAACAGAGGGTTGTAGTCAATGGAGCATATTCTAAGCATGGGTTTGTCACCAGTGGGGTACCTCAGGGATCTGTACTTGGACCCATTTTCTTTAATATTTTTATTAGTGATATTGCAGAAGGTTTTGATGGTAAGGTATGTCTTTTTGCTGGTGATACTAAGATATGTAACAGGGTTGATATTCCAGGGGGGGATAAGCAAAATGGCAAATGATTTAGCTAAACTAGAAAAATGGTCAGAGCTGTGCCAACTGACATTTAATGTGGACAAGTGCAAGATAATGCATCTTGGATGTAAAAACCCAAGGGCAGAGTACAGAATATTTGATAGAGTCCTAACCTCAATATCTGAGGAAATGGATTTAGGGGTGATTATTTCTGATGATTTAAAGGTAGGCAGACAATGTAATAGAGCAGCAGGAAATGCTAGCAGAATGCTTGGTTGTATAGGGAGAGGTATTAGCAGTAGAAAGAGGGAAGTGCTCATGCCAATGTACAGAACCATGGTGAGACCTCACTTGAAATATTGTACGCAGTACTGGAGACTGTATCTTCAGAAGGATATTGATACTGTAGCTTAACATGTATAGGTTGGAGGAAAGACAAGACAGGGTTGATATGATAGAAACATTTAAATACATAAAGGGAATCAACATAGTAAAGGAGGAGACTATATTTAAAAGAAGAAAAACTACCACAACAAGAGGACATAGTCTTAAATTAGAGGGACAAAGGTTTAAAAATAATATCAGGAAGTATTACTTTACTGAGAGGGTAGTGGATGCATGGAATAGCCTTCCAGCTGAAGTGGTAGAGGTTAACACAGTAAAGGAGTTTAAGCATGCGTGGGATAGGCATAAGGCTATCCTAACTATAAGATAAGGCCAGGGACTAATGAACATATTTAGAAAATTGGGCAGACTAGATGGGCCACTTGGTTCTTATCTGCCATCACATTCTATGTTTCTATGTTGCTGATTGCATTTTAAACAAGTCGTTTTCTGCAGGTAAAAGTGACTGCTAGCAATCAGGTAGCCTGCCATCAAGAGCCAAGGTAGGCAATCTTCAGCACACCATTTTCCTTAATGCTCTTAAAGCTGTAATCATGGCTACCATTGGGGGGTACAAGCAATACATGGGTCTCGGGAATATGGTGAGTATGATGGCTACCATTGGGGGGTCCAAGCAATACATGGGTCTCGGGAATATGGTGAGTATGTATGATGAGCATGTTTGATGTCACTGGAAGTGCTAAGATATGATTGAGGATGATAATATGATACAGTACATTCATTACACACATCACTTTGTCTTTGGCTATGGATTCGGTGTCTCTGGTCATGTTGTGCTAATCATACTGATGGTAGTTAATATACTTGTGCACAAATGCCTTTCAGCTGGCATGAATGAATAAAATTCCATTTAATCTGCACCCAAGCAAATTAATCCATCCAAGATATATTTGTGGGTCTTAATCAATGAATAAGTCTCCATAGGTAATTCCCAGACAGATTGTTTTGTTTGGGTGCAGATTAAAAGTAAGTTGGTTTGTTAGTACCAACTGGAAATAATTTGTGCGCAAGTCTAGTGGCTATTTGTAAACCAGATTTTATACTATCTTAATTACTGCCTGTAATTTACTAAATACAGAGGCAAGAGAAAGAATGTGAACCCTTTGGAATGATTTGGTTTTCTGCATGAATTGGTCATAAAATGTCATCTCATCTTCACCAAAAGTCACAAGTACAGACAAACACAATGTGCTTAAGCCAATAACACACAATTATAACCTACCATTTCTTTATGGAACACATCCCATTCAACATTCACAGTGCCATGGAAAAAGTAAGTAAGCACTTGGGTTTAATAGTTAGTTGATCGTCCTTTGGAACCTGAACCAAGCATATCTGGTATCTGCAGATTAGACCTGTACAATATTCAGGAGGAATTTTGGACCACTCTTCCTTACAGAACTGCTTCCACTCAATCATAATTTTAGGATGTCTGGTGTGAACTGCTCTCTTCACGTCATCCCACAGCATCTCTATGGGGTTAAGGTCTGGACCATTCCATAAGGTGGATTTATTCTTTTTAAGCCATTCTGTAGTGGACTTACTTTGATGTCTAGCATCATTGCTTCAGCTGTTTTAGAGCCACCCTGATATTATCCTGTAGGATTTCATGATAAACTTGAGAATTCATTTTTCCCTTGATGATGGCACTTTTTCTAAGCCCAAAAGCCTCAACTCATGATACTCCCCCCTCCATACGCAATCACTGGGATGATGTTTTCATCTTGTATGTGGTGCATTTTCCACATCATCCAAATTAAAGTTTTCTTCCCAGATTACTCTACGTTAATAAATTAAAGATAGTTATGTT